CCCCAGAGCAATAGGTTTGATTCGGAAAAGCCGGTTGGATTTGGGGGGGGGGCTCTCAAGATGGTTTTCGGATCTCTTTTGGATGGCTGTTTAAAGGGGACCCACCCATCGATTTCCCCAAGGTCTCATGGGCCAAACTTTGCGGCGTCCGACTCCGTCGAGACATTCCCCGGCTTCGTGTCACTGAAAAAAGATGGCGGTTGTTGCCCGAAAGCAAGCGAAACACCAACAAGTGGGTTAGTGGGGGGAAAAAACACGCAGTTCCCAACAAGGTGATTTATTTTATTTAGCAAATCATGTTTGTCAATCAACCACTGTTGCAACGGTCCCTTTTCAAAATCAGACCAAAAAGGGTGGGAAAGGTCTCAAAACACAACGCGCATTAAGCTTGCCTTTCGAGGGTGGCTTTCTGGACTGTCTGGGGAAAACACTGGAACATGTTGGAACCTTTCTAGGGTATGGGAAGCAATCCAAACACCTTGACGCATACCATGGTCTTCTTTAATTTACACACCTGAAGGCTCCATGATCCTGGAATGGGGTCATACACCCATTGCTTAAGGATCATGGGACAAAAAAGCACGGTTGCGGAGTTTGCTGATTTGCCTGTTTACTATGGTGATCCGCAGTGGTACTCGTCTCTGCCGCTGCACCAAACAAACACCAAACACGGCTCTTTGGGCCAATGACCCCCTGATGTTCGTCTCCATTGTCATGCACATTATGTGCATACACATGTCCTTGCAGTAGCACACTGAAACCATCCGTCAACCTTGAGGAAGTTCCTGTACTGCAAACTGGAATCAGCAGGCATACAGCTCCATGCCAACGCTTTTCGAACTCGCTCTCAACTGAATGGAACCAAACCTGCACCGTTACTCACTTGTTGAACCTGTCGGCTGGCGCTGATTGACGTCGCAAGACTTACCTCCCTGAAAAGTCCTGCAACACCATACTAGTACAAAAGTCACGTAAGCGGTTTAACATTGGCAGTTTAAACAGGTCCCTGGGTCGTGTTTTTTTTGTTCAAGGGAGATGCGAACAAGTCATGTCAATTGATCAAGCGCCGCAAGGCTCAGTTCCGATGGCAAGTATCAACGACACAGCCATGCGCCGTACAAATGCGACGAGGACCGAAACAACCAACAGTTGCCTACAAATTACTTTTGGGCGCAGCGCATTTGCACAGGCCAATGAAAAGCTCAGCTAGGTGGAAGGGCCGGTTGTGGTAAAAGTGCTGGTAGTGTCTCGAAGAAATGCCGCTTGCCCACCTCTTCGGCACGCAGTTCCGGAGGATCCTTCTTGATTCTGACCTTTCTTAATCCCCACGGCCCGGCATTTTTCAGCCCCGCTTAGGCAACATGCGCATGCTGTTGTCATGCGGAAAAGAAAGCTTGCCAAGCTTTCTTTTCTTGTTGCAGTGCGTTGCACGTGCTGAGCTTCGTGAAACTGTGGATTTACAAAGCAACCTTCCGATTATTGATCATGTAAACTGCGCCGCCGAGATGCCATGACATACTATATCTCCATACTCCACGTGGCTGGTCAGCCGTGAGGGCTTCTTCAGACTGCAGCAGCGGTCGCCTCCACGAGACTGTTCAATTTTGCATACAGGACTGTGAATTGTCTGATAAGACTCAAGATCTGCAAAACTGATATGCGTTCTACAAGAATCATGAACAAGTTATACTTGTCTGTAAGCGTTGTAAAATGGTAGCATGTCAGAAACCAATGCAAACTACGGCAGGTGCACCAACCCAGCTTCACGATGAGAAGATGCCAAACGAGTCGCTTCAGCTGGACATGAAATCGGTAGTTTCCGATCGAAATTCCCTGAGCTTCTCTCCAACCAATCCACGCGAACAATACCCCAAGCAGCAAATACAGAAAATAGAACTTGTTTTCCTGCTCAACAAACTCCTCTGCTGATTCTGTAGACCTGCCGAAGGCAGTGATGCACAATACTCCAAACAACACTGTGGGCACAAAGCTTTGTAGAAATTGCCTTGGTAGCAGGTTCAATGCTTCTGCGCAGCGTCTCTGTGCTGGCTGCAAGGATATCAATCGCACTACAATTGAAATGGAAGCAGCCAGCAAGCAAGTGTTAGAGATGTTGTACTTCAAAGAAATACTCACTAGCTTTGCGCTTCTTGACAAGCAACTTTGTGGCACTGAGATGGCACTTGTCGCATTCAGCCCGCAGGCTACCACAACGAGCAGCAGCTGCCCTCGATCCAAAGCAAAGGCAGTTGATTGTAGCTGCAAGCTCAGCCAGCCAAGGCGCAAGGTGGCCCCCAACCACCACACATTCATCGACAAAGAAATCCAGCAGCGGTTCAAAGGCAATCCAAAGACATGGCAATTAAATTGATGCCATTGCCAGCTGTGTCTTTCAGCCAAATACATGTTGCACGGATCACAGTCGGTGCAAAAGCATGAGTTATCAGGACAGCCTGTGCTGTACCGACCGGTATTCACCGTGCATCTCATGTCCACATTCAGCAAAAGAATCCAGAAAAGCAGGACAACAATGATTCCTGCTAGCACTCCAGCAGCCAGCATGAGCGATTGCAGAATCCATTTTGGTATGCATAGATCCGCGTCTTGGTGTTGCTGCGACAAACAAATGTTGGACACATCACCTCGGGAGTTCATCCACGGTCGCTGCGTTCCTTGGCTGCGCTCTTCAATATTGGTCTGTGCTGCTTTGCAAGCAGACTCCCAGTCCATGCTCGGGTCACATCGCAAAGCATGAATCAAGGCATCTGTCAAGGAATGCTCGTCATTGGCGAGCCGGCCACGATCACATGCGAGCAGCATGTGAAAGTCCGTTGACGAACGCCAGCGAAACTGCTGGGTAAATGTTTGTCTGTTGCCTGTCCAGGTAGTGATGTGGTGATTCTCGCGACAAGTGTCAACTACTAGACACACTTTGAGCTTCTGTTGTTTCACGGAGTCCAATGGCAGAATGAGTGAAGCATCCAAGTCAACCAAACCTGCCTGACACTCTGCAAACGGTACATCCGATGGCAGAATGGCTGGAAGCTCACTTTTCGGGAGTTGCTTGCCATGGGCCGCAACAAAAATTATAAGCAGGCGACATGGATCTCCTTTTTCCAAGGCTCTTCTCACCACTTGTGTAAAGTGATGTACGCTCTTCTCCAGCATGGCTTTTGTCACTTCTCCCACACAGAGGTGTAGCTTCTGCTCTGAAAGCTCAGTATTCTCGCGCAAAAAACTCGCAAAGTTTTCCGCGTCCCTCCTGGCACCTGGAAGATGTTTGAGGCCAGCACACTGGTACTGTTCGATGCCCACACAAAGTGCAGCCAGAATGGGACAGGGCGGCATAGCTGGGTCTGTGCTCACAACTCTGAAAGAAGAGTCTGCATGTCTGCCTCTCCGTCTGTCTCATTGTCTATGTCTCAAACAAGGGAACAGTTAAGTTCCTTTTTGTTCCCTTTAAAACCACTCCAAAAGGGGTACCCTTTAAACAAAAACACACCCAAGTGTACGTGCTCAAGTCTCGCAAGACACCCAACATGCCCGAACTGCAGCCTGGTCGAAGAGGCATAGATGTGTGCGCGGATGATAGCCTTTCCGTCCAATAGGTACCCAAAATGGAACCATGGTAAATGGAAACAATGACCCAAACCTGCAGGCCCTGGTGGCCTGAAATTTCGACTCATACCCACATTTCTTCAAACTCCAAAAATCCAGGTCCAGGAAAACTAAATTTAGAATCGGCCAAGTCAAATCCAATACTAGACTGGCGATTTTCCCTCGTGACCCCATCTCGAGCGATGAGGGGTCGCCCCAATTCTTCCCTTTCAGACAACTGAAACAACAGAACTCGAAACTGACTAAGTAACTTCTTTTTTCAAAAAAGAGGAGTCTGAACTATTCTAATCGATCCTTTTATGTCGGCGGGAAGGGATTACAAGGGCCTAAGTAATTGCAATGGGAATGCGGGGTAGAAAACCACAAGTCTTGTTCATAAGAAACTACGAGTAGTTCCTCAGCTACAATGCCATCAGACACGCATAATTACCCCCGCCGAATTTGCAGTCCTTTCAGCGAAAGCGCCCTGAACCCCAGCGTTACCTCACCAGAAGCTGAATTGATTGAAACCCCAGGGTCGTGTTGAAAGACACCAGGCCAGAAAAACATGGGAGTCCTGTGGGCTTACAAGTCATGTTTAGCAGTCCACGTTGTTTCAAAGGAAGCCCTTTAGAACGAAAAGGAAAAGGACACACACACACACACACATGGGCTGAGGAGCACTTCTGGGTCAGGGAATGCGCCATGCAGTCTGTGACACAATTGTGTGCCCCAGCTCTTGAAAGCGTCAGAAAGGAAGGCTGCCTCAAAACCCTGTGACGCAGATTTCCCTTCCAGGGGCCCCATGTAAAGTTGCCAAAGGAACGGTTGCATTCCTTCAATGTTCCCTTCATGTTGCGCCGTAGCCTTCTGTGGGATTCACCTTGGCCCGCTGGGACACTCCCATCCCAGCAATATACAGTAAGTCCATTTCCTTAAGTAGGTAACGGAGGGAATCGCCCGATTAAAACAAAAGCTACTATAGTGGTAGCTGGCAACCGCTCGGCAAAAAGAGGCGCAAGATTGGGAGGAGACTTGTGACTCAGTCGCCCAAAGGACCCAGAAAAAGATTAACCTTTCAGGCCATGACTAAACACAGGCCAAGGGGAATCTCACAAGTCAAAGGTCGATTCGCTTTAGGCTTTGGGCATGTGAGTTGACTTGCTGGTGCTCAGCAGGGAATGAGAAATGCAACGACCCTCATAAACCATTCAACTGGTGGTTTCCTTTATTCCGGAATCCCATGTTCATTCCCTCATTCCCCACTGAGCACCAGCAAGGGTGTGTCCAATTTGCGGTGAGAAACCTCCCAGGGTTCTGAGGGCCCGGCTCAAGCCACAGGACGCATGCCATGGTGCCCTTCTCTCGGCTGAAGCCGTGGCAGTCACTGCGAAGGGAACACATCAGCTCGCCTCAGGCGGACAGCGGACCGGCCGGCGCGAAACGTCCTGTTTCGGCATGAGTCGTTAATGGGGGGCGGGGCTTTTTGGGGGACTTTTGATTTTTCCAACCAGACGCTTTGGTGGACATTGCGATGTTTGTCCTACCACTTTTCAGGGTGTTCCCAATTAAAATTGGAGGCCATGTTTGGACTGCCCAAGGTAGATTTAAACCTAGTGGTCGATGTTGTCAAGCTAGATCCCCAGGCTGAGCTTTGTGTGTAGTCAGCTCTATCATAGAACCCCGCCGCATGTTCGGTCAACCGAAACGGGAGAAAACGCCGGCTCACATGGGTCGCGGTCAGTAATCATTTTGCCCAACTGGTCACGGAAAGGTGCTCTGCTTTGTGGCCTTTTGACGTCACACCGGCAGGAAACTCGTTTTCAAGACAACCCAAAGGTGCTGCTCCCACTTGCAGGTGTGTTTAGGGCCGCCCGGCGAGGGGGTTGGGGGGGGCGGGGCACATCTGAAACCCTCTAGTTGCGTTGGAACTCTCCTGTGGGCATTGGCCAAACAACTAGTGCACACTGGTTCTTTGCCACTAGAATCGTGACCCAAGAACAAAAACAGAGTCCAGGAGCTCCGGGAGTGAGGGAAGCAATCGCATCACTTGCCAACACTGCTTCTAAACATCTCATCCAACCAAAAATCCAGCAACATGGAGTGTGTTTTTATCTGGCTACTCTATTCCCCCCGATCAGGAAAATCCTGAGTTCTTACAAACAGTCAGGTTGCAACCCAGCAAATCAAAGGCCAGTTTTCCTTTTAGGCTCCTAAAGTGCCCCTTGACTCTTTATCAACGCAGCAAAAAACTCCAACCTGGGGTACTCTCCCTCTTGTGACTCAACTTGGTCCACTAAACAGACATCCCCAGGTGTACCCTGTGAACTGTGGTTTAACGGAAAACCAGGTAATTCTGGGAACCCTCAAATGGTACTGGGTGCTAGGGGGCCATTTTTTTATTAAATAAAAAATCACCCATTCCCTGTCGGTGTCCCTTTGGGTATCTTACAAACGGGCTAAACAAGCCGGTTACATGAAACTTGCACTTACAGGGAGTACCTTACGGAAAACCAATGGTTTTGCCTGAAAATGATTTGGACGCCTTCTTTGGGTTGAAAGGATCACTTTCCCAGGTCCCCAGATGTAGAAAGCAAACCTCTTCGACCTTCACTTCATAGGACTATGAACAACTGGCACCAGTTGGATCTGTTTTTTGAGGGTACCCGGTAGCCCTTTCTTATAGATTTTACAGGGAAACCGCAAGGAAAAAAACGCTATTTTCGGGGTCCCAGCCAAAAGGGGACACTCCCACAAGTTGGCCGATTGGGAACAAGTGCAACTTGTAGAGAACTTTCGGGCGACCGAACCTGCTCCCGGCTGCCCAATGAGGAAAGACAAAGAAACCTGTTTAGCTCACAGTTCAGGGGGGGCCAGCACACAAGAAAGGACTCCAGGGTTCCTTCAAGGACACACCGTTCCCAAAAGGCTGCTTTATGATGCTTTCTGCGGGAAGCCTCTAAAGCAGCTGGTGAAAGTTGGGTTTGATCCAAACGTATCCTTTAAGGGACCCATGTGGGGCGAATGTTCCACTAGAAGCCTCACCGCGCGACCAAAACGAATAAATCCGCATTTTCCGGGGCCCGGGCAGTCCGCGGTCGAGGCCTCCATATAATCCGAGACCGCCTCCACTTCAGTGGGCAAGAGGCACCTGGCGTTGAGAGTGACCCAACCGAAACTCAGATGCCCAGTGGATTTCCATGGGACAAAAAGAATCGGCACCCTTTTTCGGTCGACTTTCAAGGGACACCCTTCCCAAAAAAGAGAGAAAACAGGGCACCACTGGGCAACTGGGGAAAGGGAGCGGGAAAGTACCAGCACCCAGCACCCATCAACCCAACTTGAGGGGCAACCAAAAATCCAGTCGGCCTCGACGTCTCAGTCCGTCAATCCGTCCGGCCCCGCCTGCCCGTGTAATAGCCGTGGCGGGTGTAAGCGACCGCCTGGGCGGAAACCAGCTTGAAGTCAGCCAAAAAGAGTGGGCATACCAAAAATCCTGCTCTTCCAGCCGTGTTTAGCCTCCAAACCTGTCTGTGGGGCTAAACATATGCTGCTCCTTTCTATATTCATCTACCTCAAAACACAAAATCATGCTGGAGACCCCTGCTCTTCCACGAGGTCACTGGTATATCAAGCGAAGAGCCGCCCCTTGCCACAGCAACCCGTGGGTGAATTTCAGGGCATTGAAGGGTTCCAGCCTCCCAACTGGCACCAATCTGGGATGCCAGTTGGGAGTCTGGGAACAATCAACAAACATACATCTTGTAAGTCAACCATTCCCCTGAAAGCTGAGGTTCCTTTTGGCTTCCTCTTAACTCAACGGGGGTCGGCTGTGAACCCCATTTTATGCACCCCTCCTCTGCCGCGTCGATGTCCGCGGCGGTGTAGTTGGCGAAGAGCGGCGAGGGTGTTGTGGTCTCCTCGAGTCGTGACAATCTTCACAACTTGCTGGTGTGACGTAGGGATGAGGAAACCATAGGGGATGGCGTATAGGGGTCATTCCCCCATTCCCTGCTGAGCACCAGCAAGTCACTTCCTGAGTTTGGCCTTTTCGAGTGTAACCTAAAACCTGATCTTCCGATCCCCAAATAACGCAAACTCCGACAACTAAGAAGCCCGAGAGTTCCTTAAAACCGGAAATATGAATTGGATCCCGAGGCGAAGAACCTGAATCACGGCTTTCGTCCGTACTCCCCACCTTTTCCCCCCCGTTTCCCCAAAACAAGGTCGGCCAAGGCAACAAAAACCCCCCCCCTCCCCACGCAAAAGGTTCCGATGGATGCGTCTTAGGCTTTCGGTACCGAGAATGTTTCTCGGTTTGTCTCCGTCGTGCAAGAAGAGACCGAAAAAGGAGTTGCGGGGCCAACAGTCTTTCAGAGCAAGCCTAGGCCGGACCGAGGAACATATGGCATGTGCATCATTGGCCAGCCACGTCTTAGCGGAACTTGAATCTGGAATCTGAAACACGCATTGCCACACGTCAGCTTGATCAACAGTCGCAGTCCGACTCGCCAATTGGCTACAGGTGTCACACAACAGTCATGACAATCATTGACGACGTGACTTAAACTCTAAGTTGAGCATCGCCTGACTGTTGATTCTACTAACAAGGTATAAACCTTACTGTAAACCCCCACAAAACCAGGAAGTATGTATTGGGTGCTGCTCAAGAAAACGTTGCTGGATACATCTCAGGGACATTTAGCGCGACCAACAGCAGGCCCTTTGTTTGACAACTTGATGCATACCGTGGGCACATTGGACGGTCTACTCACTTTCTCAGTGGATTTGCCAAACCGAGTCGGATTGTGCTTGCAGGCAGGCAGGCAGACAGGCAGGCAGGCAGGCAGGCAGGCAGGCGGGCGGGCAGGCAGGCAGGCAAGCAAGCAAGCAGGCACCCAGGCACGCAGGCACGCAGGCACGCAGGCACGCAGGCACGCAGGCACGCAGGCACGCAGGCACGCAAGCAAGCAAGCAAACCGAAAACAACTACCACACACACACATTTCAAAAACACAAATAAGCTCAGGTGATATCCCCAACAGCATGCGGTGCTTTTTGTAGGGCTCGCACCACCCCGCAGCCCTCGCAGAGCCTCGTGGAACCCTTGTGGAACCCTGGGGAACCCTGGTGGAACCCTCGTGGAACCTTACCTCAGGACCGCCCCGGACCACCCCGGAGCCTATCTGGGCCGAGACCCCAAAGCTTCCAGCTGTTGGGGAAAAGAAACAATAGGCAAGATCACCAACACAGACAAACAACAAGAAAAACAAAACACACACAAACACACAAGCAGTCGTCTCAGCGAGCTCAGCAAAACGGACTATGTCAGGCCCCATGGCCAGCCTGCTGCCGCTGCTCCCCAACGCTAGTCAGCAAAACAAACCAACAAACCAGCAAACCAGCAAACCATCAAACAAAACGGACAAAGGGGCCACATCCACTGGCTCTGAAAAAAAGTCAACGGTCACCGATCCGTGGTGGTCTCGTTGGTCTCGTTGGAGGCGAGTAACCGGCCTGGCAACGTTCACATTCGTTGTGCCCATTTAGCTCTGAACTTCAATGGGGCATCCTCTCCCAAACATAGGTGTCCTTGCGGAAAAATAGATGGCCCTGATAGATCGTGAAACAACCAGGTCAACCCGGGCCACCAATTGTCTATCCAAACAATCAAAAAGGACACCAATGCTCCGGGTGCCTAAAAAAAAACACATAGCTATCTACCCCCCAACATGACTCCGGAAATGCGCAACACAATTTGCTTATAGTCAACTGTTCATCTCTGCGTAAGGGAAATCTCAGGTACGCTCCCTCCAACAATCGTAGAGAAGGCTTCATGCTTTGAGTCGATTCCACAAAAGGTACCCTGAGCCTCATAAAAACTTACACCCAGGTGTTATCAACATTAACCACGGGAAGCGGATTCGCAGGGAGGGGGTAAGCAGGCATGACGATCCCCATCAAAGCAGGGTAGTAGTACGGGTCGCTGGGACCCAGACAAATGCAACCTTAGGCCTCATTAAGTTCGCATGTTTGGTTTCAGGAGGCAACTGTGAAAGCTCGAATTCGTCCTGCGCCGCCGGCGGGTTCTTTAAAACTTTAGACTGGCCTGTCAACACGCTCTTGGCAAACTTTGCAACGGAAGCGCCACTGTGCCAAGCGGCGGCTCTGGGATGATAGCCCCGTGCGCGTTTCATGTTTCAGACGTTCGATTTATCCTAAGCAACCGTTATATTAAAAGCCTTTGTGTCAGGTCGGTTGAAGGATGACCGGGAAAATAATCTGCACTTTGAGGGGGGGCGTCGCTGTTCTTCACATGGCTTGGACATATCGTTTGTTGGTTTGGCGGGGTCTGCTAAACTCAATGTTGGCTTGGTCCATCTTGAGGGATGATCACAATACGACAATACGGACGCGCGGCTGGTGTCTTGATGTGTTGCAGTTCTCAGTACATTAAGACTCCCCGCCAAGTTCTCAAAGTGGGGAAGCCTTAGGAAACCTCAAGTTTGTTGAGACGTTGAAGCTTTGGTCGCACAGGCCACGCAACTGACTGCCCGATACCGGCGCAAAGCAAAAGATTCAGGGAAGTACAGGACTGCAGCAAACCTGTGGATAACTTGTCGTCTTTATTCAAGGTACCCATTTGGGGTTATTTCAGAGGGGAGACCGAAAAACGTCATGTTGACCGCTCCGATTTTTGAGACACCCTTGTGTATTGAGGACCAATCAGCAGGGATGCGCGAGCAGGAGGGATGTCGCTGTTAAAGGTCAATCCGCTGGGTCCATCAACAATGCCTTCCACATGGTGGTCTAAAGTCTTCTTTTTCTGTGGGGGGCATGGACTTGGCAAGCATTGCGCCTGCCAGTGACTTTCAGACAAGCAACCGTTCAAACCTCCGAACTGGGCACCCGAAGGACATATGCTTTTGTTCTTCTGTCGGGGCCGGAGCTCAACAACTTGCTCTTGGATCTGAGTACTTTTGTGGGGAGGGGGGTACTCCACAAGCCTGAAGAAACACCCTGGGGCTGGGGAGTACTAGTAAACAACAATTTCTTATGGGAGAATCATGTGTGTAGTTGTTTCGCCCCTTACTCTTACATGCGTGCGGAAGGTTTCTCCTGACAGCGCCCTCGCATCTTGACTTGCGCTCCGGTCGCTCGGCGCCTTCAGCTTCCGTCTCGTTGGACGGCATCTGTCGCACAAAGGCGCGGGCCGGACGCGCAGAAGTTTGCAGGGTTTCAGCTTCCCCCTAGCTGGTGTTGGTGTGGGGCTTCCCAACTGCCCTCGAACTTTAACTAGACTAGGTCCTCCAGTAGAGAGGTTAGAATAAGGGTACCCTTTTTTCTGTAGTCTATTTTAGTAGGGGAACCCTCCCCAAAAAAGAAATGGTAAAAGGGCACCTAGCTGGGGGACCTAGTAGATTGAAAGCCCTCAACGAATCCAAGCAACCAAAGTCCTGTCTCTGCAAGCTCGGTGTTTGATTCTGACTTTGAAGGAGGCTTCCTCAGTAAACACGGCCCTCGGTTTCGCAACCACGGGTTTCCTTGCATTGCATCAACCCCAAACAAGGGCAGTGACTGGCAAGGCATACCAATCATTCGCTAAGCCAAAACAATAATAGTGAAGGAACCTTCACCCTGGGTGAGCTCGCGCATTTTGTGAAACAACAGAACGCATCACAAACAAGTAGAACCTGCAATCGGTGCAACAATTCCAAATCACAATAAGGGCTTTCCCGAGTAAGAGGCTATCAATGCGAGCTGGTTTTATCCTCAAGTCGCCATAGCCTGGGCAAGTGGCACCTGCAGGCAGGAACCCGGGACTTGGCAGCCGTCACAAAACCCGAGCCGCTGTGCTCGACTCCGGATATTCAAGAATTGCCCGTGGAATTCAAAATCTTCAGGGCCAAAGAAAAGCAAGGAGCCAAAACCCTAGTTCCTGGAAATGAAGAGGGAGCCCCTCAAAAAACCAAGCATCATTTCTGAAATTTTCCATGTGGCCCAGCTCGACCCAGCCGCACTCCAACACGCCAACCAGCGGGGCACATTGAAGGCATCGCTCAGGCCTTCCTGTGGCAAGTGAGTGACCCTTACAGGTCCAACATGGTTATAAAGGTTTTTCGTTCGCCTTACTCGAATCACAATTTCCCTCCCACCGTTTTTACATGGAACCTGACAAGGGGTCCCTTCAAAGGTAAATGGTCTTCTCCACATGGTCTGCCAGGACTCCCCTGTCAGGTTCGCTTGGTGGGAGGGCATATTGAACCCAAGCGCGTCTCATTGGATCCCAAGCGCCTTCCAGGCAAAGGACGACTCCGCGCCGCCTGGCCAGCTCGGCTGTTCCGAGGCTGTTCCAGCTAGACCCCCCCCTCCCCCCCAAAAAAACTGAACTGGGTCCTCTAGATTTGAGAGCTTGGAATAAGGGTACCCTGTTTTCTGTAGTCTATTTTAGTAGGGGAACCCTCTCCCAAAAAAGGGTTAAAGGGCACTACTGGGGGACCTAGTCAAACATGGTGGGTGTTCCTCTTGGTTCTCCTTTTCCTAACCCTTTTGCTTGTCCTAAACAGAATCATCCAAGAAGGGGTACCCTCCAACAGTACAGACCCATAGTCGTAGGCTGATCTTCGTGTTGGTTGCGGTAGGGATTGGTCCGCAAGCGTGGTTCTATCCTAAGTAGCTACACCCAAGAGGGCTGCCTTACCCAGTTCCTGGACCCCTTGTTGCGGGACCAACTGCGTTTTGGTCAATTGAACCATGCCGGAAACGGATGAGGACTCGTTCAACAGGCCCTTCTTCTCCTACCCACTTGGATGTGCGACGCGCATCGTGTAGGTGGTGTGTATCTGGGAATTCGTCCCGTTACCATAGTGAAATCGCCGCTGTTAAGACGGATTCTTGGCCAAGGTCATACTCCCCAGGCAATCACTGCAGATGGGGGGATCCAGTTGACATCACCCCCTCCACGAAAGGGTCTGGGTGCTATTGGACATAGGTGCAACTTTCTGAGGGTACCTTTTTTCAAGTTCTCTTGGAGAGAGCAAAGGGAAATCGCACTTGTTTTTGCATTGTTGCCCGTTTGGAAAGGAACCCACGTCCGCCAATAAGCGGCTTGGGAGTTTCTTCCAAAAAGGTGTGTGCCCCAACTAGACTCATCAAAGCACACTTGCCCGGTTCAGCCGATCAAATCAACGTGCTTTTTGATTTTGCTTTATCTATCATTATTTCCTTTTGGGAAGGGGGGCGCAAAAAGCCCCAACCGTCAACCATCCCCATTTTCGGGTGGGCGCACCCGAAGCTAATTGGTGTATTGGTGGGGACGATTTGCCACTGACCCACAGAGGCCACTAACATAGCAGCTCACAGCAGCTTTTAAGAGGAACCTCATCTTCCAGTGCCCTTCCACTGCTATGCTTGTTGGAAGGGTACCTACAGAGCCCAGGGGTTGAGTCTTCCCCAATCCCAACCGCGGCTTGAGTCTGACTCTCTCGAGCAAAACCAAAGCGCCGGCGCCACACTCCATGCCGAGGAACCCGAACCTCGGGTTAAGTCGATTAGCGTTTTGGGCTCAGCCAGGGGAGGCACAGCCTGACTGGTAACTACAACCCATGGCCCACTAACTTCCCCTCTGGCTCTGAGTCTAGGTCCTCCAATAGAGAGGTTAGAACAAAGGTACCCTGTTTTTTGTAGTCTGTTTTAGTAGGGGAAACCTCCCAAAGAAAGGGTAAGAGAGCACTACTGGGGGACCTAGGAGTGTTTGAAGGTTTCACTCTTAGCTCGGCCCAACTCTGCGGTAACTACCGCCAAAATAACAAGAGTTCAGTTCCTGGTCCACAATTCGTCCATCCTGAAATACAAATCAGTTTGGCGGCACCCGCAGACAATGGCGGGGCGTGCCCCTTGCCGGCACTGAAGTTGTTCCAGCCCAAATGCCCGATACCCAACACTCGCGGCTTACCAACCGCAACGACTGCGGGTTCTCCGCCCGGGGCTCTCAAGAGGACAATAGCAAGAATCAAAACCTGGTACCAAAATGATGAACCCAAAACCCATGTAAAGAGCTTCCAAGGCGGATATCCGCACCCATTTCCGGGTGGGACTGTTCCTAATCTTCAACTAGTCGGGGTTTCGAGGACGTGGCCCACATGTTGGTGCGAGATGATCGCAAGCAAAAATCGGAAGCAAGCAAACCAAGTGGAGCTAACCGCATTCCTCCTCCCATTAGTGTCCGGGTACAAATAAGCAGGATTTAGCAGTCTAGGCCCTTTCCCTTTCAGGCCAAAAGGGACGAATGAAAGGGCAACTTGAGCAAACAGAAAGTTCTGTATCCCACTTTTCGGTTTTGCAAGCGACCTGTCACTTCCTCGGCGTGAAGCCTGAAAACACGTTCAAGCTGTTTGTTTGCCAACAAACTAGTCTTCCCGAAAAGCATAGAGTCCAGCAGCAGGGAGCGAGTAGGGGGCTTCTAAGAGACTTCCGGCGTGCCAGTGGGGCGCCCGGCAACACCAAAAGCGCAAGGCAAAGCACCACGAAGGTGCCTAACAGAAACCGCTTGGAGTTGGATGGGCATGCATGAACTTGGCAATAGGTAGGGCATGACTGGGTCGAGAATCTACCTGAAATTTCCCTCAAAGGAAGCCATAGGGGATGGCTTATAGGGGTCATTCCAATTCTCATTCCTGGCTGAAACACCAGCAAGTTTAGACCGCAAACTGACCGGCTCCTGCTAAAGGGTGCCGCAAAGCCCACTGATTCGGTCGCCACATCTCAAAGAGCATGGGCTAAATTAGGGAAGCCTCATGGAAACAGAACCGACGCGATTGAGTGAATCTTGTTCAGAACAACTGTGCTTTGAATTTTAAAGGAGGCCCTTGCAATCTTTTGGGGATACCCGGAAATCCTCGTTTTGGGACGAGCCTGTTTGATTCAAACTGCTAAAGAGAGGGCCCCTCGCTACTTCAAGTTTGCGGATTGACATCCTCTTTGGGGCATGCGCAAGTGTTTCTACAGAGAGGGACCTCAAGATTGTGTTTTGTCTTGTGATTTAAACCATGTGCCCTCAAGAAAACACCCACGCATTTAACCCCTCGCATCATGACGCCAATCCTTTTCGGGCTGGCAAAAACCTGAAATACGCCGTAAGCTACGACAAAATAGGCAGAGGTACCAGAAGTGGGCACTACACACAGTGCTCTCAGCTTCCTGGTTGCTCTGGTAAAGCTCGGCTTATGTGGCTTACGTGTGAGGTTCCTGCTGCGTATCTGCAAATCGCTGAACACATTCAAGCCGGAGCCAACACTTGGTGATTGAAAAGGGAAGGTTGAAAACGGAAGGGTCCCAGACCCCTTTCCATATACGTGTTGCCTATTTGGAAGTTTATTCAGGGCTTAGTAACCTATTAGGACTTAAGTGGAATCTTGGGTTTATCCGCCGACCCCTTTCTCGTAAGGGGAGGCGCATGAGAAGGGTTTGTCTTTGTCCTTGTCTTAGTGATGAGTATCATCACCACTGATGTTGGGTGATGGTTCACAGCATCCGGATGATCATCATTACCGTAGCGCTTCTTTTTTCATATATGCTTCAAGTGTGCCGTTAGACCTGACTGGAGATGCAGAGGATGCGTCGTGAAAATTGTCATGAGAACTGCTGCTGATGCTGGGGATGCGTAGTGATAACGTTAAGCTGGTGATAATGAGGATGCGTAGTGATGATGATCACCAGAATGATGATCATGATGATGATGAACATGATGAAGGACGAGGATCATGATGAACATGATCAGTTATTGGGACAATCAACACATCGCATCCTCTGCATTTCCAGTCGGGTCTAACTTCACACTTGAAACGTATATTGAAAAAAGAGCGATGATGAACATGATGAGGAGCATGATGATGCAATTGATGATGATGATGATGATGATGATGATGATGATGATGATGATGATGATGATGAACATGATGATGATGAACATGCTGATGAAAATGATGATGATGATGATGATGATGATGATGATGATGATGATTAACATGATTAACATGATTAACATGATTAACATGATTAACATGATGAAGAAGAACACCACCATCATCACTTTCATCACTGGTGATGCTGAGGATGCGTAGTGATGATTATCATCAGGATGATGAAAATGATGATGATGATGATGATGATGATGATGATGATGATGATGATG